CCAAAATATAAAGATGATGGACAGTTATGCCCTTATAAATTTCACCCCATCTGTTTTCTAAATATCAACTTAAGAATAATTTATCTGAAGTAAGCATTTTCTTTTTAAATTTAAAATTTTATAGCAGAAAGTATTTTCTATCAAAGTGGGCAATTTGCCTCCAGACAGCCAGATAAAGATCTTCCAGAAAAATCTATGTAAGGAATAAAATTAAAAGTCACAGAATTCTGAAATCTCACCAGGTGTTATGTGAAGGACAGTGGCAGAAAGAAAAGAGGCAGTTGAAGGTTCACATATCTGATTATATTTTCAACACATTTTAGATAACAGCCTAAAATTTTTTTTACAACTCTCATTTCACCAGATGCAAACCAGTAACAGGCATCAAAACCTTGTCCTCTACACCATGAAGAATAGTTCAATTTGCAGATGATAAATGCTTAATATATATGACTAGAGGCCTGGTCCATGAGTTCCGTGCACAGGTGGGTTAGGCCCACCAGATTAGAGCTAATCGGGGGTGGGGCCACCTGGAGGAGGGGCTATGAGTGGTTTGCTGGCTGGCCCTATCCCCAGTGGAGGGGTTGATTAGGGGTAGGGCCAGCCAGGGGGAGGGGCATTGGCCATGCCCCCTGGTCAGACTCCTGGTTAAACTCCTGGACAAGGGGATAATTTGCATATTAGCCTTTTATTATTGGTCATAGGGAGATTAGTTAGGAGGTCAGAAAATTGTTCAGGAAAACAGAAGTGAGAACAAAGAGGGGTGTGTTCACTTGAGGTACCTGAATTAGTGATAATATATCACTAGCGATCCAGGGAAAAGGAAAGGAAAACTAAGCCAATGAGTGTAGCCTTTGCCATGTTAGAGTTGAGGTTCTCACACATCGTGAAAGCATAAGTGTCCAATGATGATTTGGGGGGGGGAGGGGGGAACAGATCAGAAAAAAAAAGAAGGAAAAAAAGCTGAAACCGGTTTGGTTCAGTGGATAGAGCGTCGGTCTACAGACTGAAAGATCCCAGGTTCGATTCTAGCCAAGGGCATGTACCCCAGTGGGGTGTGTGCAGGAGGCAGCTGGTCGATGTTTCTCTCTCATCGATATTTCTAGCTCTCTATCCCTCTCCCTTCCTCTCTGTAAAAAAATCAATAAAATATATATTTTAAAAAGAAATAAAAAGAAAAAGAGGTAGGAACTAGAGAAATAGATCTGAGAGGCAGTAAGGTGGCTGAGTTTGTGGAAGCTGTGGTAAGGAAGAGAGACTCAGGAAGAAAGCAATGCAAAAGAGTCCTCGGACCCACAGGGACAAGGCCTCTAGGATCACAACAGGATCCAGGGAATGCCAACAAAACCAAGGAACCGCTAAGAGAGAGAGAAGAAATATAACCGTATGAAATAATCCTGTCCTTTTATGAAGTTTTCAATGACATTAAGGAGAAAAAGACATACACATGCTAAACAATTTTTCATGACTGTTTGGGATTAGTAGCACAGGTGGTAGGCATTAGAAAGGCAAGAAAGGAAAATTGTGCTAAATATTGGAAAAGCCAGTGATGACATAATAAAGAACACTGGCATAAAGGAGAAAGATCATTCTAAGATGGAGAAGTAAAGGGAAAAGTGAAAACTTTTATTTATTAAATGTCTACTATATGCCAGTAACTAGAGTAGGATCTTTCCAGCACTTTACCTTATTTAATTCTCATAATATTCATCTGAGACAAATCCTATCCCTATTTTACAAGAGTAGTTTGTGACATACCAAAGGAACTTGCCCAAAGTCTTACATCCAGTTATGAGCATATGGCAGTTTTACAACTGGAATCTCAGTGGAGGGCCCATGATTTCCACACCGTACTTCCACTTACTAAACTGCCTAATGTAGGACGAGTCAAAAGGGGAAGGGGAAAAAAAAATAAAAACTATAGTAGAAGAAAGCCAGAATTATGCTTACATATCTCACTTCAATGGGACTACCTTTTTGAAGACATGTGCAAGAAAGAAAAAAAAAAATGAGTTTTTCAACATCAAAAATAATCTTTCAATCACAGAGAGCAGGTAGGATTACGATACCTTTTTGCTCTCAGTCTCTTCCCTCAGGCCTATTCCGCACTGTTACCATAGTTAGAATTCTAAACTGCACACCTGACCATGTCATTCCTCCTCTCTTTATCATCTTTCAATAACTCCCTAAAAGAGAAAAAAATATTAACAGAATCAAAAGGAAAAAGCTATTTAATACATCTAGAAAACCCTTAACCTAGAAAGGATAATAGGGAAAAAGTTAACTCCTAAAAATAAATGCCCTATTTTTAATTTTTAACCCTATTTTTCTCACCTCAGCATTGTAAAATAAACTTCAAATGCCGGTTAAAGAGCAACATCGACACCTTGTGGTGAAGATCAAATGGCTCTCAATTAAATGTCTGGTTACATGAAAACTAACCCTTAATCTAGGAATTTCCAAGGATTAAAGAAGCAAAAATTTAATTACCATCACATACACTAAAGGTAAATTTAGAAGAAGTTTCTATTATTTTGACAACTAAAATTAGCCTAAATTCTTCACTACAGGTGAAAAAAATCTGAGTAAAATCTCAGGTTATTGTTTTCCTAAAAAACATCACACCCATCTGAAGGAGTTTTAAGTCCTGGTCCTTGGTGGTTCCAAATCCTTGCCTTAGTCAAGGTTTCCTACTTTCCTGAGACAGTCACACATAACAACACAGTGAAAGTTATTAATTACAATATACTCTCAGAAAACAGAACCCGGAGACCTGAATTCTAATCCTGACTCCAAAAGACACTGAGAATCTTGTGGGGGTAAGAATGATATTAAAAAATTCTGACTTTGTATTTTCACATAAAATTACAGATCAAGAAGTAACAATTTCACAAAACAAGAAAGCATCAGGAAAAGAAAAGATATATTTTTTAAATTATTCTCATCCAGGAACAATTTTGCCTGAGTTAAAGAAGACAAACTATGGACAAAACTTTTGTTTTCCAAGCACTTTGGATTGAGCAGAGATGATGGTTACTTTTTTTCTGATGTTTTAAGAGAATTTTCAGAGAAAGCTGCATTTCACTGGGAATGTGCTACCAGCTACAGGATATATGATTTAACAAAATGATAAAGACAGGGCCACTGTTACTAAAACAATTCAAACTGCTAACAAGCCTGAGGAATCGGAAAGATACCTTAGAAATGAAACCCCCAAGAGACATATCGTTGCAAGATCAGTGTTAACTAACTGAGCAACTACCAATGTTCACCTCATAGCCACCAGCCTACGAAGGTAAGTGACTCAGAAAAGGATCTAGGAAACATGCTTGTCAGAAAACCTGCACACCAACCTCCAGCCTGGCTCTTACTTGCTGTGTGCCCTCGGGTAAATAAATCATTTAACACCTCTTGACTTCAGCTTCTACACTGATGTGTGAACATAAAAAGTTTCTAAGAGAATGAGATCATAAATGTGAAAATGCTTGTAAATGACACAAATGTTTACCTTCACTGCTTCCAACTTCAAAAGAATCACAGAGGTTAAGTGAATCAGGTAAATCAAGGATAACTAGGTTGAGGGAAGCATTCTCTAGTGTGCTGCTTTCCAAGATGCTACTGTCACTTTGCTCAGTCCCCATTCTTCTGTATCATGAAGCTTCTGATGCTCCTTGAATCATATTCTCTTAGTTTCTATGATGCTGCTTTTTCCAAATCCTCTCCTTCTCACTTACTTTGCCTTCCCTTCTCATCTAATCTAATGATTACTCTAATAAGCTCACAGAGTCTCATACTTGGAAAATATCTTTAAAATAATATCTATACTTTCATTTTACTTAAGAAAACAGGTCAAGAAACATTAGTGGCTTACTCACATTTCAAATTACTTCTGTACAACCTTCTTTCCATTACTTAAACTTAATGTAGTCTTAAACTGAATAGGTTCAAAAAGATGACACCTCCTGCTTTCTCTACTATCTGATTACTAAATCCTGTTCATTCTATTACACAGCCTAAGAATTCAAAGTGAAAGTACTTCTCAGATGAGAGTCAAAAGTCATCAAATGTGTGTGGTTACTTTAGTTGGAATCATTGTCTCTTAAGAGCAATTTATATAGTCCATGTGACCAAACTCTCTATCATCATGGATAATAAACTTCAAGATTTGCAAAGGAAAGGCCCATTTCATAATGTTTATAAAGTAAATAATCATCCAATGGGACAAGAGTCCAATAATCCTTCTGGTCTCTTCCTCTCGTAGATATATAAAGGATGTCTAATGGTCTGAAATTTATTATGTGTTATGTAAACATTAGAAAAATACTTCCAAAATCAAATTTCAATGAACCATCTGTCTGAGGAGGGTGAACACAGGTTGAGTGTCACTGTGAACTTTATTTTGAATTGCATTTATTTTGGTAACCTGCCTCTTAGGAAAATGTCCTAGATGATCTGAAAATTAAAAACAAATTTTAAAATCTTTCAAAATTAAGCCCAGACATTATAAAAAAAAAAAAAAAAACAGAGTTCCAGCAGTTAAGCCTCCGAACATGAGATTCGTGCAAAGCTCCCTGCCAAACATGATTCTTTTAAAAGACAAACAGCGAGTCAAAACTCTAAGCCGTGGCTGGGGCTATAGGAGGGCTTTTCTAGTAATGCTGTAGTTGTTAAAATTCTGATAAGTCTAAATTTTGTACTTCTGCTGGCTGCTCTTTCTAGTGCCAAAGACAAGAAATAGCTCATGCCCCTGTCTTAAGATCACTGGCCTCCAATCACTCTCTCTCACTGTCCAAAGAAAGGAAATGACTTCCCAAAGGTTTTATGAAGGAGATACACTTAAATCGCTGCAGCTACACAATTTATGAAGCTCTCACTAAAAAATGCCAAGCCTGAATAGCGGCTTCTAAACCTCCCATACATTGCCTCACCCCGAAATGTCACAGACTCAAAATGAGGAAGATTCTTTAGAAAATGCAGGAGGACTCTACGAAGTTTCTTACCGCAGCAAAGAGAAGACATCGTAAGAATTGCGAACACAGTTCTGATCCACCTGAAGAAGAATATTCTTCTGAGCATTTGAATAACCCTAAAAGATATTAATTAACAAGTTAATCACAGCGAAACAATATGTGCACAGTTAATCATGTTTGTCTTTTTAACATTATAATTCAAATTGTTAAGAGATTCAAAATTACAACTTCTGTATAACTAAAGTTTAACATTTTAAGCAAGGGAGCTCAAAATAAATTTCCTCTAATATTTTTCCATAGAAATAATGTTTCACATTTTGTAGTGAATTTCGCAGAGAAGCCCCAGAAGAAGAATATTAACAATAATATTTCAAGTATACCTTCTCATTGCATGTAATGTTTTTATGGGGAAAAAGGCATTCCAAAGTTCCAATTACGAATACCAGAAGCCAACATTTTCATAGATACATAGTAAAATAAAGGAGAATGAATTAAAATGTTATATGAGAAAATAGATAACACCAAAAAAGGTAGTAATGAAGGAAATAAGGAACAAAAATGATATAAGAAAACAAATAGAAAAATGGCAGAACTTCCATATCTGTAATTATAATACATTAAGTGCAAGTGGATTAAAAGGCAGAGGATGGCAGAAAAAAATATTTTAAGCAACCCACTATAAGCTCTCTACAAGGGATGCACTTTAGAACCAAAAACATAAATAGGTTGAAAATTAAAGAATGGAGCCTGGCCGGTATGGCTCTGAGTGTAATTTATAACTGCAAACATCCATGTCTAAAAAAAATTAGAGCTCAAATCAATAACCCAATCTTCTATCTTAAGGAACTAAAAAAAGAATAAACTAAAACCAAAACATGCAAGAAGGAAATAATAAAAATTAGAGCAGAGATACATGAAATAGAAAATATAAAAAACAACGAACAAAAAATCAACAAAACCAAACGTTAGTTCTTTGAAAAGATCAACAGAACTGATAAACCTTAAGCTAGACTAAGCAAGAAAAAAAGAGAGAAGACTTAAATCACTAAAATCAGAGTGAAAATGAGAACATTATGACCAACCTTACAGAAATAAAGGGTATTATAAAAGAACACTATGAACAATTGCATGCCAACAAATCAGGTAACCTAGTTAAATGGAAATAACTTGAAACCCAAAAACATCTCAAGAAAAAACAGAAAATCTGAAAATACCTACAAGTCGCCTAAAAGTTAAGCTAAGCTACACATTTTGTAGTGAATTTCGCAGAGAAGCCCCAGAAGAAGAATATTAACAATAATATTTCAAGTACCTACAAATCGTACACAGTATCGCTGCCTTGACATCCATTTTACTTGAGCAAGCAGCCCGCAAGGACCTTAAACTGACACTAGCCCCTCAGGGAAGCACACACCCTGGATGGCAGCTCACAGAAGCAAAAGTAAGTTCCCGATCTGACTTGTGATCAAGCAGTCTCCTCTGCTACCAGCACCTGTATGCCTTATGCACCCACTAGATAAAAACCCCATGGAGGTGAGGGCATGAGTGCAAGTGTGGGGGGCAATGAGGGAATAAGGTCACATGTAATACCTTAATCAATAAAGAAAAAATTTTTAATTTTATATTAAAAAAAAAAAAACTATGGAGACCACCAAAACTGCTCTTTTGGTTTAAATTGACTAGCTCAGTGCGAGCCCAGAAAGCCCAGAGCACTCCACCATGGACCCTAATAAAGACAGGTACCAAGGTGCTGCTCTGTCTCCTGCCTTGACTTCCTTCCCTATGTGGCTCTTTGAGGCATGTACCATAAGTAATAGTATAGGTGAGTAATAAACCTCTCTAGAACTTGTGAGAAATAAATTTCTCTATTTCAGTTTCTCTTATGATCAGTAATTAAATCATGGCTCACCACCTGGCCCCCTGTGCTCCACTTAACAAATGTTAATTTAATAAAGTCAGAATACAAGTAAAAAGGTTAAATCAGAATCATAAAAATCCCAGGAAAGAAAAGCCCAGAACCACATGAATTGACTGGTGAATTCTATCAATCATTTTTTTTTAAATAATAACACTAATTCTTCTCAAAGTCTGCCCAAAAATGGAAGAAGAAATACTTTTTAACTCGTTTTATGAGACAAAAATTACTCTGATAACAAAGTCAGTTAAAAATATCACAAGAAAATTGTAAACCAATATCCCTTATGTATATAATGTAAGAATCTTCAACAAAATATTAGCAAAATTAATCCAGTAGAATATTAAAATAAAAATAAAAAGGTGTATGCCATTTGGTCTAGCAATTCAAGACTCAAAGAGATATTTTTTACATCCATGTTCAATAATAGCATTATTCACAAAGTCAAGGGGTAGAAGTAACCCCAGGTCCATCAACAGATGAATCCATAAACAAAATGTGTATATACTCATACAATAGAATATTATTTAGCTATATATAGGAAGAAAATTCTAACGTGTGCTATAATATGGCCGATATTATCTACCTAATAAAAGAGCAGCATGCTAATTGACCATACCTTCACGACACCCACCAGCCAATCAGGAGTATGCAAATTAACCCAACAAAGATGGCGGATTAATGTGCATACACAGACGCTGAGCAGCCAGGAGCCTCTAAGCAGCCTAGGAATGCAGAAAGGCGGCTCTGGGATGAAGCAGAAAGGCAGAGGGGAAAGGCAGCCCTGCCAGAGCAAATGTGGTGCCAGCAGGAAAAAAGGCCCATTCTGGCATGAATCTTCATGCATTGGACTTCTAGTCCTATATAATAAAAGCCTAATATGCAAATAAACCGAATGGTGGAACAACTAAACCAATCACTATGACGTGAGCTGATCACCAGGAGGTGAGCACAGAACAAGGCAGGCATTGGCCACAGCGGGATGGTGGAGCTGGTGAGCAGAGGTGCCAGACCAAGGTGGGGTGCCAGTCTCTATCTTTGGGGCATGCCTTTGGTGGTTACTAAAAATTCTTTGCTCCTGTGCACGTGGTCTTGCCCAGTGCTCACACCTGCTCCCAGCACTGGCTCCGCTCACACCCACTGCAGCTGCCTGGCACTGGTCTTGATCTTTCGGCAGAGGTTCGAGCAGTGGCTGCTGCCCCCATTGCCCCTGAGGGCTTCTCTTCCCCCTGCTCCGGCACCAAAGCCACCACTCACACTCGCTGACGGTGCCAGGCCTTCTCATACCCACTGCTGGTGCTGGCCCCAATTGCTCCACACCATCAGTGGGTGCGAGCAGGGCCAGTGCCATCAGTGCATGGGAATGGCAGTGGTGGGAGTGGGGCTGCTGGCAGACAGGGAACCAGGGCCTCAGTGGGAGAGTCTGGGTAGGGGTGCGGAGGATGGGCATAGACCTGCCCCTGTGCCCACTGTAGCCTCTTGGACCACAATTCCTTTCAACGTGCACGAATTTGTGCACTGGGCCCTTAGTGTTATATAAAAAAAAACAGTGACAAAAGAACAGATACTGTATGATTCCACTTACATAAGATGCCTAATGTAGTCAAATTCATAGAAACAGTAGGTTGAGTGCTAGGACACTTGGAGAAGGGGAAGATGGGGAATTAGTGCTTAATGAATAGAGAGTTTCAGTTTTACAAGATGACGAGTTCTGGAGATGGATAATGCCAATGGTTGCACAATAATGTGAAATTAGTACCACTAAACTTTACACTTAAAATGGTTAGGGTGATAAATATTACATTCTGTATATTTTGCCACAATTAATTTCTTAAAAGGATTATATGCCAGGAACAAGTGGGTTTTATTCAAGGTATGTAAAGATGGTTCAATAAATGAAAATCAATCAATGTAATATATACCAATTGGAGGACTCATGCTTACCAATTTCAAAACTTACTACAAAGTAACAGTAATCACAAGTGTAGTACTGGCATAAGGATAGATATATAGATAATGGAATAGAACTGAGAGCCTATAAATTAACTCATATACCTTTATTCAATTGATTTTCAACAATTCAGTTCAATGGGGAAAGAACAGTGTTTACAACAAATGATGCTGAAACAACTGAGTAGCCACATGCAAAAGATAGTTGGGTCCATCCTTAACACCATGTACAAAAATTACCCCGAAAATTTATCAGAGAAATGATTAAATGACATTCCATTTATTTTCTCTTATTTTATGCAAAAAGCTGCCAAACATTTTTTCCTATTAAAAAATCATCCACACTACTAACACACAACTAAAAGCAATACGTTATAGCAGGGAAAGAGCAAAGGAAATGTTTTAACCCACTCTGCCTGTCGTGGTCATGAAGAAAAACATTTAACTCCTCCAGGCCTAATGAGATGAGATTACTGCTACTAAAAACAATCATTAAAAAAGGAAAGCAATAGACACAAGGGAAGTATTTGTGAGATTTACAGTATGCCAGGCAGTGTTGTTTTCCATGTTAATTTTAATAAATGTTAATATGCTAAAGGTTAACATATTTAATAGTCACACAACCCTGTGAAATGGATACTATTATTATCCCCACTTTAAAGGTGAGGAAACTGAGCCACAGAGAGGATTAAGTAGAAGAGCCATGCAGTCTGGCTCCATAGCCCATGTTCTTAATGACCGCGCTACACTTGATCTCTAAGACCTTTTCCAGTTCTAAAATTCGGGGTCCATGTACATTTAAGGTAACTTAAGGGCATTATTAAACCCTTCTGCTTCAGCCACCACTTAGCAATTATCATTCTTGAAATACGCTAAGAGCCTTGTTCTGAATGACATCTAACTTCACCAGATGTGCAATCCCGACAGACCTCTGATGAAGGGGTATAATGGAAAGAAATGGCTCGTTTGTATCTGGTTATCTGTGTGAGATACTGCTAAGTGCCAAAGAGCCCAGAGATTTACATGTCACTCAAAATTCTTCTGAAGCCAGGCCTACCCATTTGCTTTCTAAGAACGTCTGGGTGAGTATCTATTAAACTGTTCAAGGAAGCAGATATTTTCACATATCCCATGAGCAGGAGCAATTCTAGGCAGATGATCAGGTGTGTTTCTAGATCAGCAGTCAACAAACTTTCCCAGTCAATGGCCAGATAGTAAATATGTTAGGCTTTGCCAAACATATATCATCTC